TCGCGTTCCATGACTTCAGTTATGGAAAGGTGAGGCTGGTATGCTCTCACATAGAAATGATTTTTTGTGAGATTCAGGTGAGAAAAATATAGGTGCATTCATTTTGAAACAACTTGTGCAGATTTCTTTTAAAGACAGAGATTTTCCGTAATGCTAAACTTCAGGCAGGAGTCTCACCAAACAGCTCGGCAGTTCTTGAGGATTTCAGAAGAGGTAAAAAGGCGACCAACAGTCAGTGCATCGTGCTCCAAAAGGGTCATCGTGCCTGACCGCCTTCAGGCACTTCTCAGAACAGTCAGAACATGCAGAGTTTGACTGTTAAGTCACTGGTGCAGGTTAGCAGTGCTTTTCTGCTTGTCATGAACCTCCAGCCCTATTGCCATGGAGCAGTGGTGTATTTTTCTTGGCAGTGGCACCTATCACTTAGGAGACGACTGCAGTCAGTTGTGCTGATGTCAGAGTTTGGATGGAGTCCATGCCAATCCCAGCCAGGCTGATGGGGCAGAGATGTACAGGCTTGTAGGACTGTGTATTTGTACCAGCCACTCACTTCCACAGTGGAATCACTGTCATTATAGTATCTTCCTGTGAAGAGCTCTCTGGGTTGTTTTCGCCCATCTTGCTTTCAGCTTTGTGTTAATATTTAAAATGCCTGTTTTTAAATGTGGTATTAAAAGAAGTGTGTATCTGTGTATCTGTAGATATGAAACATTCAGCCAGTTTGTTAACACGGTCTATGCGGACAAGTAATTGAAAAGTAATGTAACAAGTAGTGTAAGGGATTAATTCTTTTTTTTAAAAAAGTAATGTGTAAATAAAAGTCAGACACTGATGCCAACATAAAAACCCATGATGCTGACATAAACAAAAAAAAATTTCCTGTATTTTGGGGACTATTTCTTTTAACCACGACCGCTCCATAGACTGATTCTTATTGTGAGCAGAGATGGGCAGTAATGCGTTAACGCGTTACTGTAATCCGATTACTTCCGCTTTCTTCCACTGACCGTTGCACACCTGCACCAGGGTAAACCTCCGCCTACCCCACTCCTGCTTTACAGGTGAAAATAGAGCAACAGGACCGCTAGTCTTTGACTTTATTTATTTTCTGCTGTGTTTTACTTGTATCTATTTGAAAGACTGAGTGTAAACACACAAAATATTTTATTTTATGTGCTGGAATGTGCAGAAAATAGGTTTAAATGTTAAACTAATTCAGTCAGAGAATGTTGCAGATAATAAAATGTTTGCTTGATGCATAAAGTTAAAAGATTAAAACTAATAAAACAAGTTTTAAAAAGAGACTTTTCCATTTGATTACATTTTGTATGATGATTATGTAGAAAAAGTAGAATTGGGCTGAAAGATCTATCTCTTTATCACCTATTCAGGTTGTAAATCGTGTTTTTAAAAAGTAACTAAGTAACTAAGTAATTAATTACTCTTGAAAATAAGTAATCAGTAAAGTAATGGGATTACTTTTTTGGGGAAGTAATCAGTAATTAGTTACTGATTACTTTTTTCAAGTAACTTGACCAACACTGATTGTGAGTATTGTCTTTAGAGCTAGCCGAGGTTATGAACGGGTTACATCTCAGTATAAAGACACAGCCTTTGTGGTCAGTTATGCTAGACAACGTGAAACGAGACTGTTTCAGTGACACAAACCTCTAAACTCACTGTGACTCTATGACACAGACAACAACAAGAACACAATGACTGGAGGTTTCTGACAGAAAATGAGCTGAGGGGCTCTACCAGTGTTTAAATAAATAGACAGAGAAATACGACCTCCAAAAAGGGGAAGCTGTGCAAAATGTAAATAAAAGCAGAATTGAGTGTTGTGCAAATTTCACAGTATGACACAGAAAACACATTAAGTTTACTATTTCCTGAAAAATATTAGCTCATTGTAAATTTGATGGCAGCGACATGTCTCAAAAACTTTGGGATGGGGCCAAAAAAGGCTGGAGAAGGAAGTGGGGCCCCAAAGCAGGAACTCCAGCAACACTTGAGGGAAGAAGAACAACTTTAATAATAGACATAATAGACAACACACATTGTAAAAATTGCTTAAATACAAGGCAGGAAACGGAAAAAAATTCAAATTAACCAGTCAAAACTTCATAGATAGGTCAGCTGACATATAATAGGTAGGTATTGGTTAATTGGCTAAGTCACGCCCAAGTAAATACCGGACTAGATCATTACTGATGAGGAGGAGGGGGGGGTGACATAACCCCCATATGTCTGAAAATAACACATGCATGAAATGCATAAGGAGGATGCTATAAATATACACACAGGTTAAAAAAAAAACACATTTGTTAAAAGATCCTTATTTATGTCTCTAAAATGTAAAATATCTAAAATTTAGACTTGAATTGTAGACTTAAGATGAGATGTCTAAAGCGCTACTAGGAAGTGGGGCCGAAAAGAAACAGCTGGAGAAACATTAATTAGGTTAATCGGCAACTGTTCGATTAAATGATGGGCTCTTAAAGGAACATCTTATAGAACCAGTTTCCCTGTAGTAAAGATGGAAAGCTGGAACAGACTGCAAATGTAGACATTTTTTGGGATAACATTCCTCTTTGATTATGTCTTCAAAATATCATCCAAGGATTCAGAGAATGTGGAGAAATCTCTGTGTGCAAAGGAAAAGGCTGCAAATCAATATTGGATCCATGTGATCTTCAGGCCCAGACGTAAATCACTGCATGAACACCTCCAGTAATCACGGCAGTCCCGACCTTTCATCATCTGACAACATTTTGAGCATCATGAAACCAAAGATATGACAAAAAAGACCAAGGACAACGTTGCTGTCCCTAAACTCCAGCAGGAGATCTTCTCAGGTCCCCGATGTTTACAGATGCTCCACAGTGGTACGTGGTCCTGTCACTGTTACTGTCATCAAATTCAAAATTAGCCAATATTTTTAATCAAAAATTGAGTATTTTCTGAGTTTAATAGAAAATAAAGTGGTTAGCCTGGTTTATTGGCAAAGTGCATTAAACTGTGAGTGCAGGGATCATCTAATGAGGATGTAGCTTCTTGTAACTAACCATGAAAACTCCAGGATCAGGACCTTGGAGAGTGCTGC